TTACATATACATTAAAATAAATATACACACATTTATTGTAATTTTATTAAATAATTTTATTGAATTATTTATTTTATTTATATTATTATTTTATATGCATTTCATTTTAATAAAAAAATTAATACAAATAAGTTTTTATAATTTTTTTTTTTTTTTTAACATTTATTTTTTTGTATATATCTTACCTTAGACTTTTTTTCCCCCACAATTGACACTTAACTGGGCGTTGTCACTACTTCACATCCATATCCTCATTTTCATATGAAATTTAAATGAACTGCCCTTTCCTCAACGCAAACTCCATAATGCAGCAGATAGCCTTACGTGGGAAACATTGGTTTGAGTCCAGCTTGCAACATGCACTGATCCCATTCCACTTTTATCACACCAATAACTATCTGTCATTTCCACTATATCTGTCTAATAAAGAGGCAGGATAACAATTGAATCCCTATAAAATGTTAACTTTGAAAGCTTTTGACCCTTTGTATCCCTACCGTCAAAGCCAAACTCCACCTCAGCTAACGCGCGTTCTGGTATGCTTGTCCTGCTCCATCAGGCTGTGCTCCAGGAATAGCCTCTGTGGTGTGGAGCTGTTGACGTCTGGTGTTCTCAGTGACAGTTTGAGTTTAGCACATTTATGAGCCAAAAGGGACTTTGGCAACAGCGTAATGACAGTTCCACTCTGTTTATGCTCCGGTGTCGCTGGTAACTAGGGGTGTGGATATTTTGGTCACAACTAAAAAGATTGACTGATTCACGCTCTCCATCCACTTTGCATTTTGCTTAGACCATATCTGCAATTTAAAGTTTCATGTTACCAGCCACAGCAAAATGATCAATGATCAAAAAGTCCACTTGCATTCCCATGCCCTTTTGTTTCAATAATTCACAAAGTTCAATGTTTAATGCCACCTGAAGGGACTTTTTTTATCTTGCGTGTGTACAATGACTGACTGTCTTCCATCACACAGGCATCAGCGCGAGGAGAGGCTAGCACAGGAGGCAGAGGAGAGGAGGCGTAGAGAGGAGGAGGCCAGGCTCATGGCGGAGCAGGAGAGTTTAAGAGAGGAGGCCCAACACCTGCAGGACGAGAAGGAGGCACAGAAAAGAGCCAAAATCGAACAAGAGGAGAACGAACGCCTCCAGAAACAGGTCAGAAACACTGCATTTCCCAGAATCCTAAGCAACACACTTCACTCTGTCAAATAAAAGCTGTGTACATGCATATACAGACAGTCATGTACAGTACATATATAGACTTTCCAGTACTGACTATTGAATTGCTTAGTTGCATCAGAGCCATGGCCTGGCACTCAAGACATGTCGAGCTGTGGTGCTCATATGGGAGACATGGGTTCAGATCTGGCCTAAGTTGTGTCCTGATCAGTATCCTTTTAATATGATTTATATACTATTATATTGTTTGCTAATATTTAAGTTTTAGTAATTTTGTTATGAGTTTTTATATATATTTTTTAAATATTTTTAAAGTTTGTTTTTCATGTAATTGTATTTTTTCTTCAGCTTTATTTCAATTGCCAAAAATTATTTTTAATATTTTTAATTTTACTTATCAGTAGCAACACTGGTCTTTGGGGGGTTTTTAGGGTTTGATCCTTATATGACCTAAATGCTATAAAATATGAGCATGCACTTGTATCCTCATTTTGTAAGGATGATGAGACAAAAAAAATGCTACACAAGTATGTCAGGTTCTTACATATCTGCTCTTCTAGGAATGCGTTAATATTAACAGTGCCATTTAGCGTAGTAGCATTTTTGAGGTTTTACCACCACCTGGTGTTCAAAATGGCATTTAAATAGAAATTAAGTAGGTATCAGAGTTCCCACAGTCATGGAAAACAAAGAAATATAAAGACATTTTGTGATTTTATTTAAAGGCCTGGAGAAGCCATAGAAATGAATAAAATATTAAAAAGTCATGGAAATTTCTATAGCTATCATAGAATTTTCTAGTTATATTATGTTAATGTTTCATCAGCTGGTATTTAATTAAAACATTTTAAAATAAACTCAATCACTAATCATAAATAATAACAATTAATTCACTGGATAAAATGTCATCAGCTGCAGAGGAAGTTGTGTTCAGTGTGAATCTGATCATGTGATCATTGTATCTGTAGAAAGAGGAGGCTGAAGCAAAGGCTCGAGAGGACGCAGAGAAACAGCGACTGGAGAGAGAGAAACACTTCCAGAAGGAGGAGCAGGATAGGCTGGAGAGAAAGAAGGTCAGAAGGGTTTCCACCTCACATTTATATTTTTCTCTATAAGGTCATTTTGAAATCATCATGCATCTTTAAAACCCGTATTACAGGGAACTGTTTGCATATCTTCACCAACTGAAAACTCAGCAGTCTATTTAAATCCTTTCATTTCCTCTCCTAACAAGTCACATATGCCCACAGTAGCTTTCAGGCAAAATATGTTTTCAAGGTGACTGTAGGATCACAGTGAAGTGCGAGCTCTCAAGATTCATGCATCTGCCATAAATCATACAACACCTTGACATACACCTCCTGATCCCGTTCTGTGAACCTGTTTAATGGAGGTTAGCCTCGTCCACTCGGTTCCAGTAGTATTACCCCACCAGGACAATACGTCCCGCTATAAGTCAGTTTATCAGGGCTGCGCTATAGCCTCGACCCAACGGTCCTCAGCTCATGGTGTGATTTTTGGAAGACACAATGTCCTCTGAGCTTGACACACTGTACACTGAAAAAAAAAAAAGATGCTTACATTTTTTTTTTAAGTTAAAGGGGTTATATGATTGCTAAAAAGAACATTATTTTGTTTATTTGTAAATTTGTATAAATTGATTCCAACCACTTACCTTAAAAAATGTTTGTAAATTCAATTAATCATTTTTTTCAATGTAGTGTAGACACCTGCCGCTGTCTTTTGGACTGCTTAAAGCTGCAGTTTCTGATTTTGAAACTTTGAAAGATTTATAAAGAACCAGACAGATATCTATTGATAAAAGTAAAAATCACCTTTTGGAATTGGGAATGATGTGGAATAATTAAATTAATTTAATACATAATTTTTTGATTAGAAATACATACAAAAAGAGTTACAGAGGACCAGAGAGAGATATGTCTGTAAACAGTACAATTTGGAATTGAGAATAATGTAGATTCATTGTTGAAATCTAACAAAATGAATTAAAAAATGAAATATAACAAAAATGAAATAAAATAAATCTGAGACACTTGCATTTTTCTAAATGAATACATTATTTTTCTTTACTAATTACATTATCATAAATATGAGTGAAAAGTTGACTTGAAAAGTGAATATTTTTCACTTCAAGTTCAAGTGAGCTCTATTGTCGTTCCTCCATATGTGGAGACATACAATAGAACAGGAACACGGCGCTACATATAGACAGACATATAAATTAACTTAGTATTAAATATTACATATTAAATGAACTCCACAAGTTTGTGTGAAACCTGATGACCATGTTCTGCAGAATGATTCAGAAATGATCCAAAGAATATCTTGTGCTTCATGATCAACAAGTTACAAGATCAATGTCACAATGTTTGCTTACTTGATTAGTAACCTATAAATAGTACAGAATCTTAAATATTTCTTCATTTTACATCATCATGTTTCCTTTGTTTGACATTTTTCAAAGTTCAAAAACTTAGTTTATTTCCTGGTTTAAATTTGATTGTGAAACTCTTGTCTCTTCTGTGCATTGTTTTTAGCGTCTGGAGGAGATTATGAAAAGAACACGCAAAACAGATGCAGGAGACAAGGTACAGCGCCGTTCTCATTTAAAACGGCCTCACTGCAGCAGTAGCAAGGCTCCAATTTCCCCTTGTGGTTCCAGAGCTCAGAATCTGATTGTGCTCTTTTCTTTTCTTTCCTTCATGCAGAAAGACACAAAATCTCCATCTCAAGTCAATGGAAAAGCTTCAGATTCTGAGATGAATAAAGGTATGACGTTAGTTTAAAATTATGTAGGTTTAAAAATGTTAGTATAAATTGTTCATATCACTACTAACAAATAATCTTTAGTTGGATTTGGCATTCAGTGCTTTGTTCAGGACTGTTTGAACATTTCTATTTAGATCTGTTTGAATCAGCAACAGCCCGTTTACGTCAGTCCCCACATAATGTTTTCCCTGGCTCTGTCATTGTACCTTTTTTTTTAATTATTATTTCTTTGGGTCCAACTTTCAAAATCATTTTCCCTTGTTAGGAAATGCATAAATAAAGGTTCCCACATCCACACCCCTTTCAAGATTAAGCTTATATCTACAATATTTCCTTAAGGTTGGGAGATGGATTTGTTGCTCCATGTAGTCAGCCAGAGAGGGAGTAGCGTGCAAAACTGTGTACACACTGCTGCTTGTTACTTGTGTCATGTCGAATCCCTGCTGCCGTTCAAAACCAGTGCTTTCTGTAATGGAGTATGAAAATTGGCACAGCAGCATGGTGAATCCATCACAGTCTATTTACGTAGAGCTTTGACACTCAGTAGCGGGGTTTTTTTTTCAACTGGATGAATGACTATAAAGTCTACTTTCACCCAGCTGCTAGTATTATTCACTTTAGCCACTAGAAATACAGACAGTCATTCAAATAAATATATGATCAAAAATAGAGTAAAAGTTATTTATATTAATATTATTAAATATTGTGAAATATTATTAAATTTTAAAATGCATTTTTTGTTTTGTTTTTCAGTATATTTTAAAGTGTAATTTGTTCCTGTGATGGCAAAGCTGAATTTTCAGCAGTCATTACTCGCATGATCCTTCAGAAATCATTCTAATATGCTGATTTTGTGTTTAAGAAGCATTTCTTCTTATTATCAACGTTGGAAACAGTTGCTTAATATTTTTGTGAAAACCCTGATACATAGAAGATTCAGAAGAACAGCATTTGTCTTAAATAGTAATTAAACATTATGCATTTATTTACTGTCACTTTTGATCAACTTAATGCATCCTTGCAGAATAAAACTATTAATTTCTTCAACAAAAAAAAAATCTTACTGACCTTCGAACATGTAGTGGTAGTGAAAATTCTAATACAAAAGGACATTTTCAAAGCAAACTCCTATTATGTATTTTGTATTAACAAGCTGTTGTAAATACAAACATTATGCATTTATTTACTGTCACTTTTGATCAACTTAATGCATCCTTGCAGAATAAAACTATTAATTTCTTCAACAAAAAAAAAAATCTTACTGACCTTCGAACATGTAGTGGTAGTGAAAATTCTAATACAAAAGGACATTTTCAAAGCAAACTCCTATTATGTATTTTGTATTAACAAGCTGTTGTAAATACAGTGAGCACTGGGAATCCGGGAAACGATTCCAAATGAACTGCTGAAATGTTTATTCTGTCAATTGTACAAGCCATCTGGGAAAGGAACATTGATTTGGCAAAGGAACGCTAAAACAAACAAGATTGCCATTTTAAGAAACTATTAGCATGACATTCTGTCTTTTCCTAGCAGCTGCTGACTACCAGCCAAGCACGGCATTGAAACAAGCTGGTGTGAATGAAAGGTAAGTCCTGTGTTTGCATTTTTGTATTCTGTCAGTTTACCCAGAGGCGACAGTCTTGTTTTCACATCTTGTTAACACATGGGATGCAAACTCTGCTTTATTCGCAAATTGTATTTGCAATATTCAGATTTTTCACATAGATTACATTTGTAGTGGTTTAAACCATCTGTTTTCTTTTGCAGTCTATCTGTTCTTGTGGTGAATGGTGTTCAGCCTTCCAAACACGAGAATGGCCTGTCAGCAAAAGGGGAGGCGTCTCACTTCCAAGAGATCATTCAGCTGTCCAATCACAACGGACGGGAGAAATCCGAGATTGACAGACCTGACGAGCCAATCATGGCCTTTGAGAGCGGAGAATCATTCCTTAAGAAAACAGGCCCCATTAAGCCTCAGCATGTGGCAGGTGAGCATCCAAAAAGTTTCTAATATTTCAGTGTCAGTGGCTTCTTAGACTGTGACTGGTGATAAATTTGAGGTAATTTGCATATTTTTCAGAGACAAGTCCACTACATTTTAAAAGGTTTTGTTGTTAACTATCAATGTTTCTTTTGGTGGGAAAGAGTAATTGTCATCATCTTTCCGACTTTTTTGCACTTGGAGGGTTAATGTTGTCTCAGGTGTGGGTGTCATAGTGGCCGTATGTTACCCTGCGGGTGCGTCAGGCAGGGGTAATGGGGTGAAGAGCCTGGCACTGAGCTGGATTCCTGAAATGGTGTCGTGAAGACCTGATCCGGCCCCACTGGCACCAAAGACTGGAAACAGGACCCCTTGGCTTAGCTCTTCACCCACCTTTCCCTCGGCCTGGTCAGCATTACTTGGTCCCGCTCCCCTCAGCACGTACCTCCACCTGTCCTCCTGCAGACAGCCCTCCAGCCATTAATCATCTGCAAAAAAAAAACACAAGGGGGTTTACCTCACGCCATGCCAGCTCTCGTAAACTGAGATGAACATTTTTAATCCAAAGTGATATCCAGGACATTTGCTTTGCTATATCTGGAGCGCAACCCTCATCTCATGTTAGGTATAGAATTATTATAGACGTATCATGTGAGTGTGAAGATCGAAACAACCATTTTCTCAGGACTAAAGCTCTCATTTTCTGTGCACCTTGCTGGAAAAACCATGTTGTGTAAATATGCTAATTTAACTTAAATGGGTCCATACCTGCTAAGCAACCTACTTAAACCTGCTAAGTGTGTCCTAATTTATGAAAATCGAATTAACTAAATTTTGTAAAGACACTTGCATGTCTAATCTCCATATTCTTCCTCCAGAGGTCCTCTGAGGTCGTAAACTGTTGAATGAAACCTTAAATCTGCAAGTCCCTCAACACCGTCTGCCTGAGGGACCTGGTGGAAAGAAGCACAGCATGCAAGAGACCTGTGCCAAACCCAAAAACTGTCTTATTGGCCCTGGTTGTTGGCATAATAATTTTATCTAGTGTTTCCAATCATGGTCCATTCTGAGGAGCTGAAACTGAATGTATATTACTGATGCCCTCAATAATTCAGAGTAATTTTGGAGTAATTAGTCATGAAAAAAAATTTATGGCTTTTTTTTTCCAAAGTTGTTAAAGGGGAGTGATGTTCTGACAATTTCCCTTTAATTTCATTCAACATAATTATGTCACTGTAAAAAATACTTCCCAGTATGTTTGCTTTGTTTTGCATGAAAAATACAGCATATATCCTTAAAATGAGATCAAATAGGCAAAATCATGTAAGATTGAAAAGGCCCACTCACACCAAGAACGATAACTACGTTGACGTCCACACCAACTCACAATATCATTCTGTCTATTACAAGCATGCATTGCCATTCTGAAATCTGCCACCTTAAATGCTGGAGCTCTTTAAAGCAGAATGGATTCTGATTGACTGTCATTGCTTTTATCATTCATCAGCTGAGAAAACTCATTTTGAAAGTGATTCCAATTAACGATATTGTTCCTCTGTGCTGTTATCGGTATAGTTGTGGTTTGCACTCTGCTCGTTTTAAGTTTAGAACAATTTTTAAAACTATCTTTATTGTTCTCATTATATAGTTATCATCATTGCTCTGAATGGGTCTTCAAACTTTTATTGAAGAACAGATCTTGAATTAAACTAGAATTATAATTTTTTCCTTGTAAAGAAAAACAGTCATGCAAACAGTCAATGTCCAACGCAATGAATTGAATGGGGGGGAAAACTCCTCCTTTAGGCTGCTGTATTTGCATCTTAAATCTGAGTGATGTAGCAATGATCTGTGATATGGAGGTAATGCATATCCTTTTGGGAAATCTAACCAGGTCCAAGATGGCTCAGATGTCCCTACTTATGCTTTTCCGGAAGGCCATTGAGCCGTGAGTTACATACTTGAATCAAACTCCCGGCCAAGCTCACATCCCCCTGACCTTTGTGCGCATGCTTCAGCACTCTTGCCGTCTGTATAGCATGACATCTAATACCACCTCGATTTATGTCTCTCTCCCTCTAAAGCATGCGTTCAGAACTCCCATCGCACTAAACCAAATCACCATGGTTACTTTTCAAAGATTTTGTGTTGTCAAGAAGAGGTTCTTTTTCGCCTCTTTTTCTTTAGGCTCAAACTCTCCATCCTGTTTCTTTCATTTGTTTTATGCGTTGACGTCTGTAAGGCGAGACTTCTGTAAACAGTGTAACTCTGACCTTTGTAGTGCAGTTTGTCAGAGGTTATGGTTTATTATTGTCCATTATGACACATCTGTCATATTGATACACAGTAGGGGGCAGCAAATCAACACGCATGTACAGACTCACTGCTCAGGTTTCTCTCACCCGAAGACATTTAGACTGGTTGCCAACATTTATTTTACTTTGCTGCCTCTGTTTCAAAGAAGAATGTGAAGTATGGGACTGGCTATATTTTCCAGCCCAGTGTTGCCTGTAATTTTAGATGGGCCCACAAATGACTGGTTTGTTTCAACATTGTGTTGTTGCTGTGGGGATTGCTCTAATTGCGGGTGCCGCTTGTGTTGTCCTGCTGGGGAAAATAAGAGGGGCTATTTTTAGGCCGATGTCAGTCACTAGTGAGTTATAGCACTGAGACAATGCCAATGTGATGAATTAATTTACAAAGAATGAGGACCAGTGGAAGGTATACGATTGGCGTAGATGTGATGGAAACAAGAAGACAGAGGTTCTTTCAAAGTAAGGTCATGTCACTTAAACAGTCCTGCAATAGCTTGGGTGTGAGATGGGGAAGCGCACCATCAAGTTTTTGACATGTTGATTAACAGCCTGTTATCTCTTCAGGGCTTTTCTGGAGTTCCTCTGCTAACTTCCAGTGATGATAAGTCAATTTATCCCATGAGACTTGCTTCACAGATAAAAGTTGTTTTAAGCAGGTTATACAATTAAACCTTTTTATCTTTAAGGGGGACCAATAATTTGCTATTTGTTCATTCTGCAAATGTGTTAAGCTGCTATGTTCTTTCAGTTGTGGACTTATTTGAACTTATGTGGACTAAGAATTTATTGGCGCTTTTCAAGACTTGCGTAAAGCAATAGGCTAGAGATTTTAACATGACTGAGGCAACACTGACACTTTCTTTAGAAAATGTAAAATAGTCTATTGTCAACTTTGTTTATTGGTGGTTATTCATGCTTTTATTAAAGCATTGTTGGTGCTTTTCAAGACAAGGATAAAGCAAATTAGGTTTGAGATTTGATCCCATGAGACTTGCTTCACAGATAAAAGTTGTTTTAAGCAGGTTATACAATTAAACCTTTTTTTAAGTTATCTTTAAGGGGGACCAATAATTTGCTAGTTGTTCATTCTGCAAATGTGTTAAGCTGCTATGTTCTTTCAGTTGTGGACTTATTTGAACTTATGTGGACTAAGAATTTATTGGCGCTTTTCAAGACTTGCGTAAAGCAATAGGCTAGAGATTTTAACATGACTGAGGCAACACTGACACTTTCTTTAGAAAATGTAAAATAGTCTATTGTCAACTTTGTTTATTGGTGGTTATTCATGCTTTTATTAAAGCATTGTTGGTGCTTTTCAAGACAAGGATAAAGCAAATTAGGTTTGAGATTTGAACACGACTTAGGCACATCTGACATTTTCTTCAGAAAATGTAATAACTATATCCTATATAGTCTACATTGTTTAGAGTTTTTTTTAAATTAGTAACTTACATTTTAGACAGTATTGCCAGCAATAGACAACTTTTGCTCTGCCTGAATGAATCAAGGTTTTTCAATTAAACAGTAGTGAATGATTCGTTGACTCCTTCATTTGTATTATTCCTGAAAAAATCAGTGTTTGAATCACTCATACAGACACGTCCCAAATGGCCTACTTATATTATGCCCTAAAAGTATGTACTCTTTTTGGGAAGAAACAGTAGACACGTTTGAGTGTGTAGCAGAGTAGACAAGCATTGGGACATACTACCAAATCATAAAAATGCGCTCTGGCCGAGTTTTGTGCATTCTGTATTTGTAAACCAGCCTGTTTTCAGCGCCAATATATAGCAGCGTTGTGCTACGGGTGCCCCAAGTTTGAATCCTGTCTTATACTAAAGGCAAAAATCGGCAAAAAAGCAGCCTGTCAATCACAGTTAACAGTGGCTTGTTTCACTCCTGAATGAATGTGTTTTTAAACAAATTAGATGAATGAATCATTGAATGACTCACTCATATAGACATTTCTGAATTCAGAACAGCATTCTGCTTCTGCGAGTACTTTTATATGATAGAGTAGTATGCCAATATGCATTTCCTTGTCACTTGTTTTGTTTCTGAATGAACGATTTTCTTGAGTGAATGTTTCCAATGACTCACTCATAAAGACACTTGTTGCCATCTACTTGGCGTAACAATGTAACCTGAGCAAAGATTCACTGAAAAATTCCCACCACTAATGGACTATCTGGAACACACACTTGGAGTGATGCAAAGTTTCAGTAATGCTAAAAATCCAACAACCATTGGTGTTTGTTGTGAAAATTAGTGTTGAACTAGCCTTAAACATCTAATAAATGTTGCTGAAAGGCAAACATGTCCTCCATACCGCCACTTTTCATGAAGTACAAGGGTTATCGAGCGGTCAAGCTCTGTGGTGAGTGAACATCCATCTCTCCACACTGTGAGTTTCTACACCATCAAAGGACTTCAAACAAACTGCTGTCCCCAGCCCTACTCGCTCTCACTCACACTCACTCTCAGCTGTCTTATCTCCCAGGCAATAAGTCCCCTTCCCACAGCTGTTATCATACGATGGCATATTGACGCAAAGGCCCAGTATGGCTGGTGCTCAAAATAAGCCCATTGGAAATTGTTATTGGCGTTTGAATGATGGGTACTTTCCAAACAGGCCTGTTTTGCAGTTCTCCCAGTGAGAGATGGGTCTTTCACTTCAGCTTTGGACTTTCTGGTGTTCTCACTCCAATTCACATGATCTTTGAAGTGTTTAGCTAAAGTGACATTATAGTAGGAGGTCGCAGTCATGGGGGTGGTGAAATTTGTGGTCACTGAGCAGCTGGAGGTAAATGGGCAGCAGCTGAATAATCTTTGGTCTTGTTTTCCTCAAGCATTTGGGCGTTTGTTGGCTTTGTGATCAAGCACCTTTTCTCGACACCAGTGTGGCTTCCCCTTTGGTTTTCCCTAAATCTATTATATATGCCTTTGGGAGTCACATTCTTATTTTCATTTCAAGTCATTGGGCCCCTTTCATGAAAGACATATTGTATGATCATATTTAGTGTTTTAAAATCACATTTTATTTACTGCCTTTTGCCTTTTATAAAAGAGTATAATAAAGAGCAGACTGGATTGTGGAAAAACAGTGTGAAACTGTGATACTTCTTGTTGTTTCAACATTCTTTGCACAACTACTGATGTGCTAGGTATAATGTTTGTTCATGACTTATTAATCAAAATATGGAAGAGTTATGAAGTTGAAACTGTGGGATAGTACCATGTGTTTTTCCTGTTCTCACATCCTGAATGATTTGCATGCAGTACTGTGATTTGAATGCAAAGGATCCGTGTCTTGAACATTCACCATACCTCAAATACATCAGTGTCTTCAACTCTGGACTCAATGTTAAGTAGCATTAAGGAGCTATGAGGATCCAGGATCCAGTTTTGCTAACCGGCTAGATAGACTTTTATCACAGCAGGAGAACAACTGCTGTGTCTCTTCTTTTATTTTCTTGCGTTGGAAACATTTGCCACCTCCGGTGTATTAAAGGCAATGGCGAGAGAAAGATTCATGGTCAGCTGAAAACCATCTTGTCTGGCACTGGATTGTTGTTACTGGCTGATCTGGGGGAACACTGACTCAGAACTCAGTACAGATCAACCTCACAGATCAACTTTATTTGACAAAAAACTTTGCTATGAACTGTCCGTCATTGTGCCGTTCATATTT